GGGGGAGGGGGGGTAATGTGTCGACGAAAAGAAAACATCTCGGGAACAAAAAGGCAATTAAACCCCTTCATATCCAGCCCGACCACGCTGCTGGAAGATGTGCGCAGAGAGGGGAAGGGAGTGGGGCAGGCGCAGAGAGGATAAGGGAAGGGGGGACGCTCACCCTGCTGGCCGGGATGCTGAGAAGACTTATTTTTCTTTGGCCAGCGGGGTTTATTCGTACGTGCGTGGAGGAGCGGGGGGATCCGAGTCTGATGAGAACGGCGGGGAGTCGCATTAGCCTTGGCGCCCCCCTTGGCCCCGCCCCCCTACACTCTGTCTGGTCCGGATCGCCGCTTTCTACATGTCTGGCTCCTCTTGTTTTTGTGGGGCAAACAATACGCGTCTCTGTCGTCGCGGAGGGAAGTCAGACGCGAAGTGAGTGAAACAACAAACGAGACAATGACAACATTTTCGAAGGAGGACAGTTTTCCTTGAGACAAACCCGGACAAACCTATCGTTCCGTAAAAGGCCAGACACCTGCTGCAACGTATGTATAGCGCTGCTTATTTTGTCGAGCCAATGTGTCTCTTCTCATCATCGCACTCTTGGGGGTCACTCGAAAATAATCATGGTCGAAATGACGTGTGTTGTGCACATATTTTTCCAGACCTGTCAGGACACACGCTAAGTCTCGCCATATCATGTGTAGAATCTCATGGAACTAAAAACATAAATTGTATAATTTTTGTTGATAATTAATAATGAAAGTGAAATTATTGGTTTATGGTGCGTCCTAAACGATTCCGGCGCGTCGCAAACAGATCAGACCCCCGGGCATAGCGCACGCCTGATTATGCGGGGGCCCAAGTCTATCGCCGCCTTCCTTATTTGTCGCGGGGCGGAGTGGGGCTCCAATAAAGGCTTCCTGCGAACCGGAAAGAAATAATGGGCAGAGCAGCTTCACTAACAACGACAAGCCGAGCACAAAGCACTTTGCACAGACCAGCCACCACCGCCGCTGCCGCCGCCGGGCCGCCGCGGGCCAGCTGGACCCCCTTGAGAAAGGGCAAAATCATTTCATGTTTCTTACCCACGGCTTGTCCGGCAGAGTGAGCAATATCTCAAAAGGCGCGGGTGCGGGTAAGCATATCAAATCGGATTTAAAAATGTGTTGTTTTTCTCCAGTTTCAATAGTAAGCTGCGCTTTCATTGCTTTATTCAAAAAGACGACTCGAATCGTTTCGTGCATCCGTGGTCTTTTCCAGACCATTCTAAAACCTACACAAACTAACTGCAAACGTAAAATAAACTAGGTAGATGTACGCCAGACCACGTCTCGCGTAACAGGCTTCGCGATATCTCACGAAACACTGTTACGCTGCGACGCGCCTGGCATACATCTACCTAGGCCTGCGGCGCTGACACCTGAGTCGGGCAAAAGGCAGAGTCGTAGATAGGCCTTCGGCTCCAAAGGACACAAATTTTACCCCCAGGACTTTATTTTGACGAGTCGCCCCACCAGAGTCCATCAAATGTCTGAGAAACAACATTAATATAAAAAGGGGTGATTTTCAAGTGGAAATCGCCCTCTGGCGCCTCAACGGTTAGAGATAGAGCCAAACGGACGAAATTTTCGCCCACACACTAAATGGCGAGGGACAATTTTTGTACGTAGGCTGGATGTGTCTTTGAGCACATCTAAACCAAATGCAAATTTGCATCCAAGTCACATACAAAATATAGCATTTGTACCTAGCCTAGGTACACTTTGTACCTCTGTACAGACAAATTTGTATCTGATGAAGATGTGCTCAAAGACACATCTAACTAAGGTACAAAAATTGTCCCTCCCCATTTAGAGTGCAAAGGGCTCTACTTTGATGAGTTACCCCTTAGAAAACAATAAAAAAATATTTTTTAAAAATGTCATTTTGGGGACCTGTGGTTTTTGATTTTTTTTTAAATCCAATTTTTGAGCTAGAATGCTCTTCTTCGAACTTGATCTGTCTTTTTATGACACAAAACGACCCTGAAAATCCCAGGTCGCTAGCTCAATTCGTTCTCGAGTTATCGTGATGACAGACAGACACACAGACACACAGACACACACACAGACAGACAGACGCGAAACTTTTTGATCACTGGAGTAATAGGCTTCGCTAATCGCTCAGCCAATAAATATACTGTAGCGTTGAGAACGAGTTGAGTCTCTGTAATTCAAAATGTGATACTTTTCTCACATTTTCGTGTGATTTATCACTCCTGGGGGACTGATGAATTTATATCACAAATGTTGTGTGACACTTATTACAAACGATTTGATGATTCCGGATTTATTGCAATACGGTGTGATGCACATTGCACAGAACTATAATGCCTCAAAGTATCGCTCAAATAAGTTATATGGTCATCACAAAAACAATGCAGTTAATGATACACTTTTTCTGCGATGATCATCACAACGTGCAATATTTCTGTATCACACACCCAGAAAAAAGATTTCTTAGATCAAGCCAAATTGGCTTGAAATAAGAAAATTTCCACCTCGGCTGAACCAAACCCAAAAAAGCGTCCGATCAAGAAAAACCTAGGCTTCATTTACTTGGATTGGATCAAACCGAACACTGCTTGATTCAAGGCAAATTTATATTGGAAGCCAAGAATAAAGATTCTTACTTCAAGAAATTCGGCTTGATTCTTGCATACATTATTTCTAACCAAATATTTACGCTGTTCGTTTGGGCGACAGAGTTGCGCTTGATTATCCCCAGATTTTTTCCTAGAATACTTAGGCATTGGCAAGGCATTCTTCATCCAAGAATATTTTCTTGGTTTACGCAAGAATGCCATCGGCTTGTTCTCATACGGTGCGCAGAGCAAGAAGGAGAGTCAAAAAGTCAGTAGGGGGCCGACCGGACTCGAACCCACGCCCCGTCGGTCTGAGCCAGCGCCTCAGCCCACTGAGCTATCGCTTCGACAACGAAGCGCGCCAGCCCAGCGCACTGTTGGTAGTAGCAGCTGGACTGTGTCCGAATCATCCGAATCAGGTCGGCAGAGAGCGGCGGTCCCGTCACCTGTCGTGGTAGCTCAGTGGTCTCTGTGCCTGGCGGCTGGATAGTGAGCCGGGTCCGGCAGGGGTTCGATCCCAGGCCGGAGCGCAACCAGTTTCTCCAAATCAGTGCCTCTGTAGTTGTGAACGGCCTGAGAGGGGATGGACTAAGTTTCTGGAAACTTGGGAAAGAGAGACAACTGAGTAACCGTTTTGTCAGAAAATATAATTCCCGATAATTCCACAACGCCTAGGCAAGTGATCGAGAGAGAGGAGCGGAGGAGTCCGATTCGGGTCGGGTCCCAGCCGAAGCAGCCGAAGCGATCCTGAGAACGTGCACCACGTACACGAACACGGCGGGCGGGAAAACGTGGGTTTGGCTTCAACCAAGACTAGCCGATGCTTGCGCTACGCCTAGCTTGAATCTAGACAGAGATTCTTGTTGTGAGCTAAAAACGTCTTGATTCAAACTGTACACAATTCAAGCACTCGGCTAGGCTTAATTCAAGAATTCATTTTTCTGGGTGCAGAAAACGTGCAGTCGATATCACTCACTGCTTTAAAGTAAACCCGTTTATTGCGACGTAACGTTAAATGCAGCAGCACCCACCATGTTTGCCAACCCTTGAAACATGTTCCCGCACTGAGCGCGAGCCCACAAATGATATTGGTGTGAGCAAAGTCAAGGGGGCAGCCTGCTGCAACTCGCGCATTTGCTCGCCCCGCTCCCGCTCCATGCGCGTCCCTTCGCCGTCCTCGCTCGCGCCTGGCGCCTGCGCGCGCCCCGGAGCACTCAACACGGGCCGCGCACGTGTCGTATTTGCTCTCGCGAGGAGCGGCGGGGAGGAGCAGGGCGATGAGGAGGAAGGCTTCCCCGGATCCACCCCACCCCCTCGCCGTTAACGAGGAAAGAGCTCTACCGCGTCCCCACCACCGCACCGCTCCGCCCTCCAGTAGGCCCGGCCCATTCGGTGCAGGTTAATTATTATTGTGATTACGACCTCGGCCGATACGACCGGGGCTGCGCGGCGGGCGGCGCTGGCTGGGGGGCTTTGGCGGCATCGACACCCGACAGGGCGCCCGCCCGGCCCGGGCCCCTCGCTGCTGATGATGGGGCATTACAATTCCGCCGCCACCAATCGGCCGCCACGACCGAATTTGCAATTCTGAAAAAGCAGCTAGCAGCAGAGGGAGCTGCTGTGCTGTGGAGCTGAGGGGGCGTGGCGAGGTGGGGAGGGACTTGAAGGATGCGGCGCGACGGTATAGACGCTTGTGTGTGTGTGGTGGGGTGCGGGTGCGGCCGCCGACATCCCCCCCCCCAAATAATATCCCCTCCTCCGTCACGGACAATCACGAGCTTTGATTTCCTGGTCGGTGCAACCTCATCGCCCCTCCCCCCCCCCTCCCCACCGTCGCAACCCTTTCTCCCCATTTCTGCCCCGTTATTGTCCGTCGCGTTTATCAAACTGAATTTCATCGGCAATTGTGCTTTGGTCGCGCGCGGCTCTCGAAACTCATTGCGTGGCCGGGCTCTGATCCACTCCCCCCTTTCTGCGCCACGCTTCATTCTCCACTCCGGAGTTTTAATAACGGCCGATCGCTCGGCTCATTTTGTTTGAGAATGACCCCCATATTAACCGGGGCGGACGCGGGCGGTGCCGAGCGGTGCCGAGCGGTGCCGAGCGGAGCCGAGCGGAGCCAAGCGGAGCGCGCGCGTTCATTTGAAATACGCGACCGAAAAGTCGTTGCAGGCCCCAACGGTCCTCCGCCCGACAGTGGAAGGGGGGAGGCTGGGGCTTGTCGGGGAGTGGCGCAGCAGGGCGGCGCGAGAGGGGTGGAGTGGGGGGAGGAAGGGACAGAGCACCGGCCTGCATACGAAGCTCGCCTTAATGCTGATTGCCAATTAAAGTGGGCGGTCGGCGGACTGCCTGCCAGGGCGTGGCGGGGCGTGGCGCGGCGGGGCGGGGGCGTGGTGGGGCAGGGGCGGTGCAGGTGGGTGGTGTGATGCACATTGCAGGGGGGGAATTGGGGGACGGTGTGGCATATCAGGGCACGGCCCGTGTGATACGATTCGAGCTTCTCATCGAGATTATGTGAGCGGAGTCTCGGGCGGGGCCGGCAGGCCTTGATGACGCCGCGAGATATACCAGAGAGGGGGGAGCAGGGGGCTCTCTCTGACCTCCTCCCGGAAGCGAAGGGGAGAGCG